CTTGTTACTCTTGGAGGTTGCCACCTCCTAGACGGCTTTGTGGTGGTCTCCGTCGAAGCCCGCAAGAAGCTTGTGCGGCACTCGGAGAAGTGCTTGTGAGGGGTACTTGTGTTCGCCCCATGCGGAGTCGCGAAGAGCAACTTTAGTAAAGCGTGTCATTGAGCTACCCTCACTCAAGGGGTAGGTTCTTGCGGTGCCCGACGCATGCGGGCTTAGCGGGTGATGCTAATTAGCCGCCCGAACTACCAAGTGAGCGGGTCGACACAACGGGGACTAAGCGTGTTGGCAAACACGTGAACCTCGGGAGAAAAATCATCGTGTCAACCTTGTTCTTCCCGTTGGTTTGCATCCCCATTACACAAGCTTGCAATTACTTATATATATATTTAAGCTTGTGTAGTTGCTCTTGTAATTAGATAGCTTGTGTAGATAGCTAATTACCTTCTTGCTTGTGTAGCATAAAGTAGCTCCTTGCGTGGCTAATTTGGTTTTAGTAACCTTGTTAGTCACATTGCTTAGTTTGTGTAGCTAAGTATTTGCGCTCTCTAATTAGGCGTTGGTTGCCTTGTTATTGAGCATTGCTAGTGAGCTTAGTTATCTTTGTGCTTTTGCTTACTAGCATGTGTAGGAGCTCCCTTGTTACTTAAAGTACTAGTGGCATAGGTTTGTGTGACCTTGCTCCTAGAATTGTTTAGGAGAGCTCTAGCTAGCCCGGCACCTTAGTTGCTTTATTAGTATCTTTGCAAGGTGCTAGTGAACATATATAGAGGGGTGTAATCTTGGCTAGACCGATTGTTTTAATTCCGCATTTATATCGGTTAGCCGACGCGATTAATTTTAGAAAAGACTATTCACCCCCCTCTAGTCCGCCATCTCGACCCTTCAGGGGGGCGGCCGGCGTGGTGACTGCACGTTCGCCACTGTAGAGGGCGCGAGTCTCGTCTTGGACCATAGCGGTTGTCGTATGTTTATGTCCGGTTCTACACCCGAGGGCTGAAGGCGGCGCCTATAACACTATTCGAACCCTGCCATGCCCGGAATGGTCTAAAGCGCCCATCCCGTCGTACCATGACGGTACTTTCCTGCCGCGGTGCAGGGCATGGTCCTTGGTGCTGCGTTTGGTTCGAATATCATGTCGTACCCTGTGCTCATCATTATGGAGGAGCATGGCGTACTCGCCCGGCGAGGCGGAGTCTGCCCCCAGCCGTAGGGCAAGGTGGAGCCTAGCCCTCGGAGGTCGGGCGATGCGGGGCCCGCCCTCGGACGTCGGGCGAGGCGGAGCCCACCCTCGGACGTTGGGTCGGGCGAGGCGGAACCAGTCTTCCGTCGTTCGGACAAGTAACGCAGTAGCGTTCTCGTCTGATCAGAAGTATCAACGTTCGATGGTTATTGGTTCCACCTCATTAGGTACCCCAGTATTAGGTCTCCGACAGATATGCAGTACCGAGCGATGGATCTAAACATCCCAAAATTACTACCATACCCCTTATTGTACCATGCCTAACTGCTTCAGTCTCCTACGCCTAGCCCGCTGTACGTCCTCAGCGACATCACATCGGTTAAGGGCCTGTTTAGTTTCACCCAAAACCTAAAATTTTTTGCGCAGTATCCATCACATCGAATCTTGCGGCACATACATAGAGTACTAAATGTAGACGAAAAAAAAACTAATTACACAGTTGGGTGAGAAATCGCGAGACGAAACTTTCGAACCTAATTAGTCCATAATTAGACACTAATTGCCAAATACAAACGAAAGTGCTACAGTACCCAAAACCAAAAATTTTTGCCAACTAAACAGACCCTAAGCTAGAATTGCCACCATTGCCCCACGGAAATGGCAAGTGCTTGGGGGTAGTCCGATCCTCGAAGCTGGATGCCAAGAATTGATAGCAGGCTAGTTGAAGATAAAGGAGTTGCTATATTTCAAGTGCCTATTTTTTAAAGAATTTTTAGACATGCAATATTTTTATACACAATCAACTAGTCAAAAAAGAGAATTTACAAGAGACAATTCATATTTTTTGTAGCCAAATAATGACAAAATCGTGTGTTGTCTGAGTAACAAAAAAAATCAGGTATCTAAGATATAAGAGAAATGTTGAAGGTATAATGGAAAAGACATAGGAATCCACAGGTCACAATAAAGGATTGGATGGTGTACAGAGTGGTGCATATCCTAAAGGACAGTTTGGACGTGATGCAGATTGTTTTTATCCATTAACAACCTACTACAGCGCTTCTGAAACACTCAGATGTCTTTTTTCGAGAGTAGCCTTGCTGTTGTGTGGCATATAATACTGTTTCGATACCAGTTATGCACAAGGCAAGCTAGAGCAAAAGTTGCAGATGGGCAAACACGGAAGCATGTATTACGTGGCCAATCATTTCGTGCACTTGCCCTCCGTGTTTTGCAAAGTAATAAAGGCTACAATCATATGGTACGTTAGTGCAATCTTTCACCTATCATCCCTACATTTGTGCTTCTTTTTCTAGAGCCATCGATCCTACACACAGCAACAAGTCAGGAACACCCAAAAGGAACAAACAAACAAAGCCATCCAGCCCCATGTCCTGAGACCACAAACCAGACTGCCACGTACAGATTCCCTTCTCAACATGCATCTCTCTCCCATGCACCCAAAAAAAAAAAAACCCTTCTCCGGTGCACAAAAGCACCACATTCCCAGGAAGGTCTGGAGCCACATGTGGCGACAATATGCAAGCTGATGCCATATAATTATATTGATTAAAAAGATGTACTTGTATTGGAGAAATGGACCGTACCATGGACCAACTCTCTCTTTTTCTTGGAGAAAAGAATTGGACCATCAGAGGGATCTGGATTCTGGAGAGATGCAGTTGGAACATCCTGGTATCTTGGATGCAGATCGGATATTTATATATCAAACAATATATTTTTTAGGCCTTGTTTAGATTGAGGTTATAAATCAGTATTTGACACGGTAACACTTTCGTTTGTATTTGATAATTATTGTCCAATCATGGCCTAACTAGGCTCAAAAGATTCGTCTCGTAATTTACAATCAAACTGTGTAATTAGTTATTTTTTATCTATATTTAATACTCCATGCATGTGTCCAAAGATTTGATGTGATGAAGAGAGAATGAAAAAACTTGTAATCTAAACAAGGAAGCACATGCATTTGGCATGAAACTACCTATTAGGGACATGAAGAGGCATATTAATGAAATATGAGCTAAAGCGTACTATCGGAAAAAAGAGAGGCATATTAAGCCAGCCAGCAATTAGCTTAACGAGCTAGCATAAACACATTAATTCCTGATGCAACTTCACCACGCCTGAGTGAAATTAAATCATTTTATGATCGAACTAGAGGCACACTACATGAAATGGATCAATCCATGACACATAACATGCATTTCCACCTCCGGCTTTCTGAGTATGTTCGAGTATTCACCGCTGGAGATAGAAAATCGAAACTTTCCTTTTCACGGATGGATCAAACTAGCTGTGAACAATCTAATTAACCATCATGTACTTACTATTTTAGCACAGTACGTAGCCTCGCGATCATGTTCGACAGAAGTGTGATTTTTTTCCCTCATAGGAAGGAAAGTAACATCATTAATTTTCAAACAATCCAACTTCCCAAACTATATTGTAGCACAGTAACTTCACATGGTCAGTAAACATGAGCATGCATCCACGGCAATCACCATCGATCCGCAGGAGGAGGAGCACAGTAGTAAAACACTACTGTTGTTCTTAAGGAAAAACACTACTTGCTCCACTGCAGTCTGCAGCCGTAAACCCGGCTCTTCCCCCACTCAACCAACCTCGCTAACAAGAAGCCAAGAAAAGTAATGCTCCCCTCTCCTCTCCTGCAAGCTAGCTAGCGAGGGGAGGGGCCGACTGGACGCCGGAGGGCCAAAGCAAAGCGAAGCACAGCAAAGCCCTGGCGAGACCAAACCAACCCCTCCCCAATAATTGGCGGTTGCGCGCAGCAGCACGAGGGTTCCATGCTGGTGTTAAAGGATGAACACGGCACCTGGGGCCGCTGCGGGCCCCTCGCCTTTAGAATCCCTGTCAGGGACTGATGGCCTGATGGCCTGATGAATGGCTCCAAGCAATATTGCATTTCTCAATGCTGCAAACAAAAAATCCATTCAAAAAAGTGATATTTTTATATTTATTAGTATATCATAAATAAAATAGTGGAGTAGGCATGCATCCATCCACTGATCCACACCCTCAATTGAGGCCTCAATGGCTGTTGTGATCTCCCTCCCCACACTCCCCCCCTCCATCCATTGCTGAGCTGAGCTCGTAGCTGATATAGCTGGACCCTCCAGGCCCCCACACCACTACACCTGCACTGCACTGCACTTGCCTCTGCGAGCAGGTACTGACTGCCCCCCAGTTCAGTTCCTGGCTGGCCGGCTGGCTGTGCCTGGCATCCTCTTCCTCGGTGGTGCTGGTGCCGGTGTTGCGCTGCTTGTTCTCGGTTGTTCCTCACTTCCTTCCCTCCACTCCCCTCTCCTCCCTATACCTGCTAGCATATCCCCGCGCAGGCGCGCACCACTCGCTTCTTCGCCATCGGCCGGTAGCTAGCTCAGCTCCTTCTGGCTGGCAGTTTGTTTCTCTCTCCTCCCTATCAGGATAAGCTCAGCTCAGCTCCCTGCTGATCTGCGGCATTTGCCCTGCTCCCGTGCTTGATTTGTTCGCTTCTGTGCGCGGTGGTGCCCGGGCAATAACTCCCCGTGGTACCTGGCTGGCTCGTTGCCACCCTCCCCGCGGCAGAGCCGGCCTATAGGATGAGAGGGACGGGGGAACCCAACAAACCGGCCGCGACACTACTGTCCTGACCGTTAAAGACACGCACACACAGCTCCAGCTCGGCCACAGGCACGCGGCGCCTAGCTCTGCACTGGTCGACGGGGAACGGTGGAGCTTGCGCGGCGTTTCATTCATGGATTGGGATCTCAAGATGCCGGTTTCCTGGGACCTGCCCGACATGGAGCACGACGCCGCCGTGCCACAGCCGCCGCTCATCGCCGCCACAGCAGCAGCAGCCGCGGCTTCCCCCATGGCGGCGTCGGGCATTGCCGCCGCAGCTGCTGCGCCTTCCCCCGCGGCGGCCCCGCGCGGGGTGCCGAGCCGGGCCGAGTGCTCCGTCGACCTCAAGCTCGGCGGGCTCGGCGAGTTCGGGGCGGAGGACGGGACGAAGGAGCCGCCGGCGGTTGCAACTGCAACGGCTGCAGCGGCGGCGCCGTCCGCGAGCCCGATGAAGCGCCCGCGCTCGGGGCCCGGTGGCGCCGCCGGGGCGCAGTGCCCGTCGTGCGCGGTCGACGGCTGCAAGGCCGACCTCAGCAAGTGCCGCGACTACCACCGCCGCCACAAGGTCTGCGAGGCGCACTCCAAGACGCCCGTCGTCGTCGTCGCCGGCCGCGAGATGCGCTTCTGTCAGCAGTGCAGCAGGTATATACGTACAGTACAACAATTCCAGCCCAAAGCAATCCCATCCCTTCTCAATTCACTTGGGTAAACGTCGCTGTAATTGCATGAGCCTGGTTGCGTCGAAAAAGGGTCGTTTGCTTGAATTGTTGCCATGGGATTGCTACTAGTCTACTACCAATCAACAAACCGACTGATTGACGTCAGTCATTCTTTTTTTATTTTCCCCACAGCTTTTCCTTTTTACTGCTGATTGTTCCTTGCCTTTCCCTTTGTTCAAAGTGAAAATGCCAAATCAGTTCTTTCTTTGGCCTTGCCTCTCTCTTTCTTTGCTTCAGATTCTCGCCAATTTGTCACCAACAGTCACAGATATGATGAACTTGAGCTTAGCAATTACTAGCATACACCTGCCTGAGTGGGCTGTCTTGCTTCAGGGATGCACAGCTTTACCTTTCCTGGCTCCACCTTTTCAACCTTTTCATATGAACGTACACCGATCTTTTCCCTGTTTCCCTTTAGCATGTCAACAAGTATTACGTGAATTAACACCACCTCTTTGAATCATTATCTGGCAAAAGCCAGGACGCACTTCATCTTCATGTGCTAGAGGATCATCTTTTCTTGTGGCAGACTGGCAATTGATGCTTCTTCACCTGACCCCTGTATAGCTTTCGTCGTCTTCGGTTACGTTTAAAAGTGAACAATGAATTGGAATTCGAATCCGTCATCTAATTGATGCTTCTCTGCGTTAGTACAAAACAGAGAAGACACATTTTGAATCAAATACACAGACCAGAAGCTGGTCTTTCCGATAGAATTCTTTAATCAGGATCTGTGCAGTTTTTGCTTTGAGAAGAACTCCGCTCAAATCTTTAAGCCCCATCTTTGACGTTGTTGCATATGTACGTCTTTTGAAAACCTTTCCTTGCTGAATTAATAATGAGATCTGTATGTTTCTTGCATTTTTGTCATGTATTCTTTCCCGCAACAGTATTTGTTTTGTTTTGTGTGTGTGTGGATGTGGGTGGTGGTGGGGGGCTCTTTATGATTAAAGATGTTGAACATAAACCTCTTTATTTAATTTCCAGCAGAAACTGGCCTACCACATCTACCTTGCTTGCTCCTGGTCTGCTAGGTGCTGGTCATGAACAATGCATTTATGTGCAGAAGGCAATATATATGTCTGAGACGTAGAAATTTGCTATTTGAGGGACATTCAGCGAACCTTTTCTGCATAATTTTGGTGTAGCCATTTTGTCTTAGTAACCAGCAACATAGCCTGGAAATCGACTAGGTTGCCTTGTTAACCAAGGACACTGTATATATATAGTTTTTTGGGTACATTGTTGCCTTAGTGTGAGCTATTTCAGAAAATTTAACTGATTTCTTACTTTGGGTATATAGATTTAACTGATTTCAGAATATAGATAAACAGGTAGTTGAATTTCTGTTTAACCACTTCAGATTGATATATAGATTTAGCTGTCACCTGGGACAAGCACAATGCCCCCAATTTGACATCTTGGTAGTACTATACTAGTTAAAACCTTGTCAGCCTCTCAGGCGGCTGCTCAAGTATATTTCAGTTATGTGTGCAGCCTTTTATATGTCCTAGATATGTTGACCAACTACCTGTTTATCTGCTACCTTTAAACAATACAAATACAATGCTTGTGTTGTTTTGTTCCCATTTCTTCTGAAAAATTTATTTTCAGTGGGGCTGCAAGCCGCTTTTCCAATGATTGATTACCTAGCCTAGTAGAGCAAAGTGAGATTGCCATACTGCTTTGCAGACTTTTCCAATGATTGATTACCTAGCCCTGTTCGTTTGGGCTTGTTTGGCTTATAAGCCATACTTTTTCAGCCAACAAACAGTATTTTTCTCTCACACCAAATCAGCCAACAGTATTTTCAGTCATGGCTTATCAGCCAAACAAGCCCAAACGAACAGGGCAATATCAAGTGCTCCTCAGTGTCCCAACAAGATGGTAGGGTGCCGTACTGGCATGTATCTGTTGGAACCAATATACCGTGGTCCAGATGCCCACCAGGAGTTGTACAACTTTTCTGTGCTCGAGAGGTCCTGAACGTGAAACTTTTATCTAATCTGAAGCCCCATGCAACCAATTTGTTAACTGACATTCTGAAACCTGAGTGGTCCAGCTGTGTACTTTTATTTTTGAAGCCAGGCGAGTAGTATTTTTAAATAATGGGTGATAAAACATGTGCGTCTTTCTTCTGTGGCTATGAGCAGCATTTCAGCCCCACTTTGAATTTGAATTATTTATTACGGGCATTACCCTGTAGTGTGGCCTTTGTTCAGAAGATTATGTACATCAACATCAGTGGTGTGATAGTCCTGGCTCCTGAGAGATTAATTGTATTTGTTTTTCCTTGGAATTTTCGCGATGTTGATATGTAATGACTGTCATTAGTTTTGCCTATAGTGCATGGATTCCTTATTGTTGATTTGTTTATTTAGGTTTCACTTGCTTGCGGAGTTTGATGAGGCCAAGCGCAGTTGTAGAAAGAGGCTTGATGGGCACAACCGGCGTCGCAGGAAGCCACAGCCAGATACCATGAACTCTGGGAGCTTTATGACAAGTCAACAAGGTATATTGTGTTTCTGTTCAGCGAGCACCTTGCATATTTTATATGGTATGATAGTCCATACTTAAATCCATCAAAATGCTTCTATACATTTTTTCCAACACAATTGATCATCAATTCTGGCATGTAAAACTGAACTTTTAGTACTAATATATAGCTTTAAAACAGTAGCCACTTGGGCCCAATGCACCTTCAACCTGGTCCCTGGACCTCAACATTCAAATTACTAAAGAAGAGTTGAGCAGTGCTGCACTTTCAGTCTTGTTTGCACAAATAATAATAAAAAATCGAGTAGTAGTTTAGTGCTTGTTTCATGACGAGCGTTCAGGCTTGTTTTCGAGTGCAGGGACCAGGTTCTCGTCGTTCCCGGCTCCAAGACCGGAGCCAAGCTGGTCTGGAGTCATCAAATCCGAGGACAGTTCATGCTACACACCCCACCCGGTCCTCAGCAACAGGCCACACTTCGCCGGCGGCTCCACGTCGTCGGCCTACTCCAAGGAAGGCCGGCGCTTCCCGTTCCTCCAGGACGGCGACCAGGTCAGCTTCAGCGCAGGAGCCGGGACGCTGGAGATCTCCACGGTGTGCCAGCCCCTCCTCAAGACCGCCGCGGCCGCGGTGCCGCCCCAGAGCAGCAGCAGCAACAAGATGTTCTCCGACGGGCTCACCCCCGTGCTCGACTCGGATTGTGCTCTCTCTCTTCTGTCATCCCCCGCAAACTCCTCCAGCGTCGACGTGAGCCGGATGGTCCAGCCCGCGGCGGAGCACATCCCCATGGCGCAGCCCCTCGTCCCCAGCAGCCTCCAGCAGCACCACCAGTTCGGCAGCTCCCCCGGCTGGTTCGCCTGCTCCCAGGCCGGCTCCAGCGCCGTCTCCGCCGCGGGCACCGGTGGCGGCGGCTTTGCCTGCCCCGCCAGCGTGGAGAGCGAGCAGCTCAACACCGTCCTGCAGGTGCCGAGCTCCAACGCCGGCCACGAGATGAACTACCACGGCATCTTCCACGTCGGCGGCGAGGGCTCCTCCTACGGGACGTCCCCTTCGCTCCCGTTCTCGTGGCAGTAGCTTCTTCCGGTTCAAGCGACCAGTAGCGATCGGTGCAGCTGTAGTAGTCGTCGGTCATCACAATAGTTTCCTGCTCTTTCTGTGTTTGTTTATTATTCTCTGCTCCCTCACTCCGTTTTAATTTCTCCTGTCATTTGCTCGTTTCTTCGTTTTGCATGCCTGATGCATGCAGCCTGAAAAAACTCGCATAAAATTAGTGCTGAATTTCTCCTGAAACCGTTCTGATATCTTACTGATTCGGGAAGCCTGTCCATCAACCGAATCAAGACAAAATTTTCGTGAAGTAAACAATTGAACTGCTGTAGTTCATTTGTGCCGGATGGGCCAAGAAAGCTGGACGTGTGCGTTGCCCCGGGTAATGTTCTGCCCGCTTTTACCCGGGCGACACGGGCCGAGCGTTGCCTACTGCATTGCATGACGACTCGATTGACGATCGCAGGGGCAGCAGACCCACAGGGCGCGGACGACACGCCAACGATCCACTCGAAGAGTCGATCGCCAGATCACCCGTTCGGTCGACATGAACGCCGGCCCGAACGGCAAGGCCAATCCGGCAACTAGCATCCAATTTAATCGTGATCACAAACAGTCTCGCCGTCGAGTTGCCGTGACGCCATATCTCTCTCGTCTCGCTGAGACGCCGACCGAGGCAGGCGATGGATGGCCACGTCCATTCGTACTGGCATATAGTATCCGTTAGAACCGTTACGTGTTATACGGTGGTCCAGATGCCCACCGATAGTTGAACAATTTTTCTGAGCTCGAGGGGGGTCCTAAACATGAAACTTCCACCACGGCATCTTTTCCACGTCGGCGTCGAGTGCTCCTCTGATGGGACATCCCCTTCGCTCCCATTCTCGTGGGTCGTGGCAGCCTGGCAGTAGCTTCGCTGCGTCGGCTGCGACTAGTACTCCAGTGATCAGTTCTTGCCTGTGTTGTGTTCATTTGCTAGTTTCTTCATTTTTCTTGCCTGATTATTCAGCCGGATTAAACCTCCCATGAAATTACTGCCAAATTTCATGCGTTTTAATTATCTTAATACTTGGCCACCGCGTCCGCGCCCATCCGGATGCTGTCTTTGTGCGCTCGCGTCTATCCCCGCGCCAAGACAACACGCCCTTCCCTTGCCGCGCCGCACACCCCATTGCCGGTTGCGCCTCGCCTCTATCCATTGGCGTGCCCCATCCACCTCGCCGTCGTGGGACATGGCAAGCACCATGCCACCACCACTCCGCGCTACCGTGGAGGAGGTCGCTTTCAGTCCGGACTTTGTCTCCCACACGGTCGGTCGAAGACACCACGACAGAAGGGAGGCTCAAATGAGTGGGCCGTTTGCTCTCGATGTTCTCCTAGACCCGAGCTTGTTGGCTACCGCAGTCTCCCACCTAGTAGGCCATGGTCACCGGCGACGTCGTGTTTCAAATTGCTTTGATTTATGTTTCAAATATTTTCATCCTAATGTTACAAAATCGATCCGAGATGTTGCATATGTTGCAATAACTATATATGCATGTTGCAAGCCTATGTTTCAAGTGTTTCAAACGCTTGTTTGAAATGTTTCATCCGGTAGTGTTGCACATGTTACAATGGCTATATACGCATGTTTCAAATGTTTTTTTTTATCTGTTTTCATACGTATGTTGCAAATGATTTATTTGGATGTTTCAAAAGTAGATATTGTATCTCAGTGTCGCTCACCGCTTTCTTTGGTGGTGGTCTTATTTGCCGCGTGGTTCACGTCTTGGCGCTTGAGGCCTATAGCGTTCCGCCGTCGCGATGATGCGGCATGGCGCTGGCGCCACCGCAGGGGCGTGGGCTGCAGTTCCGGACGCTGGCGCTGGTTGGGAACAGGATGGAGCGCGTGGGATATGATGCGAGCACAGGTCTAGGGGGCAGACGTCCGTGCGCTAGCCTTACCGTTTTAAATATCGTAATGGTTGAGTAAGCACGTTTCTTGGTTCCTTAGAGAGTGCAGTAGTGCACATGTAGCATGATCTAACAGTCCTTTGAAAATCCTAAGGTTCATCAACCAAGGAATTCAGCGAATCAACACAAGTTCGGTGTCGATTAGCCGGAACATAAGTTTGGTGCATGTTTGTGTAGAACCAACGATAAGTTCAACATACTTGAACCGTTGCAGTTTGTATGTAATTTGTGGTGTCCATCAGCCGAATCAACACAAGTGTGGTTCACAATGGCAATGGTTAGTGTGAAATATGCCTGCGTCTAATTTGTACGCCAAATTTTCTAGTAGAGGCGTAGTAGAGCGGGCAGAAATGAATATTTGGGCCAGGACGGTCGATGTTGGGCAGATGCCACGTACTGTAGTCTAGTAAATGGGCTCTCGTAGGCCGACTGAATCTATCATCTAAGCTGAAGTGGTTTTCGCCTATATGTTTCTCGTTTGGGCCGGATGGGCCAGGTAAGCTGGACGCGTTGTAATATGTTGGCCCGAATAAGATTGTGTCCGCTTTTTTCGCGAAGAAAGAGCACTGCACAGCTCAAAGTCACACAGCTGGCCAGATCAGACGAAGATCATAATATAGGCACACGTCTTGCTCTCAGTTCTGGATTCTGGTACGAAAGTCAGTCCGGGAGAATAACGATATACCGTAAGAGCTGCCCGTCACGTCGCGTCGAGCTCGAACGGCGACCCGTGCGTCAAAATCGCCTTCACATGCTGTAGCAGCGAGCCAGCAACGACGGTCGACGGCAGAGTCTCTCTGGAAGGCTGTTGCTCTGCTATGTCTGAATTCTGGCCGGTACCTTCGACGACGAAACTGCCGAAATGGTACCTCGCAAAACCGCGCGGGCGTACGTAGTGGTCAATCGTCAATATATGCACGCCAAACTTGTACGTCAGGTAGCGACCGGTAGTGGTCAATGTTACTCGATGCTTGCAGCTGTCAAAGTGTCCAGGACTCAAGGGTGGCGGCACGCCTCCTCGTTCGACACGTGTACAAAATCGGGAAAGTTTGATCGTTGATGCATGCCCCAGGTGGCCAGGTGGGCAGTCAGGTAAGCTGGCTCCTTGCTTGTGGTATACTCAATCCATCCAAAATTATAAGACGTTTGATTTTTTTGACATCAAGTTTGACCACTCGTCTTATTCAAAAATCTGTGTAAAATATCACTTCTTTCGTCGTGGTTTGGTTTATTAATAAAAATTATTCAAGAATGACTTAAATTTGACTATATTTGCACAAATTTTTTGAATAAGACGAGTTGTTAAATTTGAGGCCAAAAAAGTCAAACGTCTTACAATTTGGGAATGAGTAGTATTATACTTGTTGCATTGTAGGTATGGCTCACACAGTCGTCGAAGAGAGGAGGGCGTATGAGATACTGTCCAAACGAACGAGCGTGCTCTCAACCCTTTTCCCGGTTCTTGCAAGCCCGGAACGGTGTTAGTTGCGCCTTTTGTCTTCGACTAGATAAATGTTCCCGTAACAATATACGGTAATTTAAGTATGAGTGTGTGTTGTATTTATTTTAAAAAATAGTATGAACATGTTAGAAAAACAATTTTCCGTGGCAATTAGGAGATTAGGAGGAGGGACGCCTGATGGTGTGATGATCCCGTACACCCATACTTGCCTTTTGAATAATTATTAAACTGATGAGTCCAGCCATGTACGTATATTTAGAATTATAAATAATGTGAGGCTACCTACCGTCCAGACGAGATTGCTGAGTGCTGACACTATCGGAAAAAGAAGATAAGCCGAGTGCAATATGGTTTGCCGAGTGTAATCATCGGACACTCGGCAAACAGGCTCTTGGCCGAGTGCTGAATTTTTTTTTTGGCAAAATAATTGCACTCAATAAACGAGACAAAAAACACTCGATAAACTAGAAAAAAAAATACTCAACAAAACTAGGCACCCGGCAAAGAAATATATTTGCTAAGTGTAATTGCCTGGCACTCGGCAAAGAAATATGTTTGCCGAGTGTAATTATTTGGCACTCAGCAAATAATTTCATTTTTTTCTCAAATGAGTAAATGACCTTGATACTTTTTCTACTCTCCACATACAACATGTGGCATTCCATGTTAAAATTTGGTATATTTATGGATCTGTATGCTATATTTAATTAATTTTTTTTGCATTTCAAAGATTTTTTTGGTATATGTCAAATTTGAACTGCAAGTGATTCAAATAATAAAATAAAATGAGTAGAAAAATGATATTCATGTCATTGAGTCCAGTGTGAGGCCTTACCCGGGAAATAAAAAGAAATTTTGAATATCTTGTTCAGAAAACACGACCACAAACGTGTGGCCGAATGGTTTTTAAATTCTAAAAAAAGCAAACGAAGTATGAAAATCATGAGATTTGTCATGATGTGATGATATCATACGTGGAGGCTATGGTAAAAAATTGAGAAGGTTTCGCATAATTTGTCACGTACGATGTTTACAAACCGAAGCATCTCAGAAGAAGAATCGTAGCGTTGAGAAAGAATCGGAAAGATTTGGAGGCAAAGTGACGGTCGAATTGGGGTTTAACTTCAAAAGTTTTTGTATAGGCAATAGAGAACATAGATTGTTTTATGTGAAATTTTGATAATTTTTGTGGATCCGTTTGATAATTTTAATTTATTAAGTGCAATTATAGAATTTTAATTGATATAAATTAAATTTGAACTGTAACTGCATAAAATAATGGAATCATATTCGTAGAAAAATCATATATATATATATTGTTGACTATATTTGACAAGGTATTTTCAAACTACATTGAACAAAAAAGAAAAAACATGTTATAGAAAACAAGGAAATAAAAAAATAGCTAATATATTTGTCGAGTGTTCAAAACCCTAGACACTCAGCAAAGATAAATTTGCCGAGTGCCGTGATCTGACACTCGGCAAAAATAACTAATATATCCGCCGCCGCCCCCTCCCCTCCCTTTCTCTCTCTCCCTTATCTCTTCTAGAGAACACGCATTCAGGGAAAGGAGAGGAGGCGTCGGCCTCCTAGGTTGGCTTAGGCGGGC